TTTGCCTGTAGCGGACCGCGCGTCACCGCTGGACCCCCCTCAAGCGCAGCAAGGACCGACCCGTCGCGGCCAACGCGACGCGAGAGGCGTGCCTCCTCCGTTCCCCTGCCTCTTCCTCTTCCCCCCTCTCCCTCGTCCTCCTCCTCCCATCCTCCCTCCTCCTCCTCCCCTCCTCCTCCTCCTCCTCCTCCTCCTCCTCCTCCTCCTCCTCCTCCTCCTCCGTCCTCCTCCTCCTCCTCCTCCTCCTCCTCCTCCTCCTCCCTCCTCCTCCCTCCTCCTCCCTCCTCCTCCTCCCTCCTCCTCCTCCTCCTCCTCCTCCTCCTCCTCCTCCTCCTCCTCCTCCTCCTCCTCCATCCATGTCCAACATCTCCTCGTTCTCGCTTTGCTCCTCGTCCTCCTCGTCTTTCTCGTCCCCTCCCCCTCCCCTTCTCCTCCTCCTCCTCCTCCTCCTCCTCCTCCTCCTCCTCCTCCTCCTCCTCCTCCTCCTCCTCCTTGTAGATAGCTTTCCCGCATCCTCCACCCCTCCTGCTCTGCCTTCCTCCTCCTCCTCCCCGGTTTCCCTCTTCCCTCCTGCTCCTCCTCCTCCTCCTCCTCCTCTTCCTGTTCCCCCATGTTCGTCCTCCTTTCCCTCCATCCAAGTTCCCTCTGGAAAACTCAACCTGTCACACTTCCAGACGTGCCGCCAGAGCGGGTCGGTCTTTTCGCATTCCCCATGTATGATCCTGAGTCTTGAGGTGGAAAGTCAAAACTGCTCCCAGGATGGAGGGTGAGTGTTTTAGAATGGAGATCCGCCGCCGTGCTTCTGAGCACGAAGTGGGCGTGTCCTCAGGTCTTTTGTCTGAACTCTTAAGCCGCAGCCCTCAATCCTGAGAAGTCTTGAGGGGCCCGGAGCACACATTCTCAAATCTCTCTGGATGTGTCGCGTCTTGCCGCGGCTTGTCGCGTAAGTTTCTCGGAGCCAAGAGGACCCCAAGAAGTCTCCGAGAGGCTCCCAAGAGGACTCAAAACTGCCCCCAAGAGGCCCTCGAGAGCGCTCCGAAGAGACCTCGTGGCGGGATGGGCCAAACGCCATTAGTATCGCCGTAGCGCCACGAACATTCGCTGTAGGAGTTCGAATCAACCACAAGGATGAAAGGGGTGCGTTTTCAACATTGAGCTCTCGCCCTGGCGCCGCGCACCACCTCTGAAAAGAGAGCTCGCACCAGTTGCAAGGACAGAGAACGTTTCTCAAAGTGGGGCGCTCGCACAAGCGCCGCGCACATTCGGCCTGCAGTTTGCAGCAACTACATGGAGAAAAAGGGTTCCACTTCAAAAGGGGCTCTCGCTTGAAACTTCCTCACGATCGGAAACTTGAATATGTGTAAACAGCTGTGCGGGTGGATGGCGGCTCATCATGAAAATTGAACCACCGCTCGAAGACTCCCTCGAAGCTCGTGGCCAGAAGCGGTAAACGGTCGGCGGTCCTTTTTGGGAGGCCCTTGATGGGCGGTCCTTCATCAACACTTATTGCGGGGGGTCCCGTTGACACCTCGTTGAACTGTATGGCATCGTCTCGCACTTCTTGTCATTCACAAGAAAGACGCATGGCAGCTCCTTTTCAAAACAGGGCCCTCGGTCGCATGGCACCTGGCTAACACGAAGGCTTCCTTGCAATGAAAAGAACAAGCTCGTATGGGACATTTCACGGAAGAGGCACCCGTGGCAGACTCTGGAACACCAGAGTAAGACGAAGCCAGGACGAAGATCGATTCGGGTGAGGATGAATCGAGGATCTCTGAGATCCGGTGACTCTGGCGGACGCCTCGGGCGCCGCAGCCTCCTCGGAGCGCTCCGTGACGCTCTGAGAGCGTTCCGGCACGCTCTGGCACAGATTGGTCCTCGTCCTATAGAGGCCTCCTAAATGGGGTCCGAGTAGATGGGGTGGGAGGATCTCACCGCATCGCCGATACATCGGCGATGCATCGATGATGCATCGGCCATGCATCGGCCATGCACTGGCGACGTCGGCGAGGAGAAAATTG